TTATTATTAAAAGGATGTCTCACTTACCTTTCTTGTGTGTTATAATACTATTGTATTTGATAATAGGACACATCTCCAATGAAATGTGAAACATTTGGGCTTCTTCTTTCATCTCCATTTGTCATGGTATTGTAAAGCTTCAACGAAGAAAATTATTGGAAAAATATGATCACGCCTTTGTTATCCTTTACTTGTTTTGTGCTTATCAGTCTTCAAGACCTACTAGACACAAATTGCGTTTCTATAAAAGCCCCTCCCCCCCCCCACTCTCCGTTTTTGTTGTCTGGAGTCCACATTGAATTATAATACTATAATACTTCCCCGTCTGGATTCTCAGGGAGGTCAGTTATAGATTTATGGCACTTACAGTACAAATAAGTCATGTTACCTATAAGTACCGACTCGCGATTAGAGATGTTACCGGGGCGTAACATATAATGAAACTGTTCCCCACCCTCCATCACTAATCTGATTTGTTAAAATATAGCTTTTTCTACGCCCCCCCCACTCCTTCCCCGCCCCACCTCAACTCCCCAAATCGTAAAAATTGTGAGGTAACGTGGTGAAATCAAGCGATCGTCCAAATAAGGAAAGTCAAGAAACTGGCATTTTTCTGCAGGTTTGAGAATTTTTATTGAATTTTTGTTTTTTGGTTCACACCTTTCATGCCCATTAAAGAACACATTTCTGTGTGGATTTTACTGAAAAAACCCGCCGATAAAAGGCATAAAATACGTACATTTTCAGTGTCCAAGAACCCAAGCTAAGGAAATATCTCCACTTTGGCGGCCATTTTCTCGTTAACTTTACCTCTGAAACCAGGTGCCCCCATCTCCCCCCCCTCCCCCCACTGCCTTCAATTGCCAATATCTTGATTTGTATCGAACACAGATGGATATTTTTTCATCAAACGCATGGTAAATGGACGGGCTTTAAGATGATACCAATAACTCCATATGCCTCAAAATTGAAGAGCGCCCGATTCCACCTCGTCGTGACACATTTAGATCATTACAGGAGAGGGGCACAGCCCTACTAACTTGTCAGAGCCAGCT